GATGAATCATATTATGAAAATATAATAAAAGAATATCATAATAATAAATCGGTTTTAAATAGTAAAAAATCTTCACATTTATCACATCAGTCAAGTGAGGTAGAAGAAAAACCTAAAATAAATTCAAAATTAACGGAAGCATTATTAATAAATCTGGATGGTCATGAAACAAAAGATGTATCATCGTCACCAGTTTTAGCCAGATCTAAATCTATGACCCTGTTAGCTAGGCTAATACACATTCAACCGGATGAATCATATTATGAAAATATAATAAAAGAATATCATAATAATAAATCGGTTTTAAATAGTAAAAAATCTTCACATTTATCACATCAGTCAAGTGAGGTAGAAGAAAAACCTAAAATAAATTCAAAATTAACGGAAGCATTATTAATAAATCTGGATGGTCATGAAACAAAAGATGTATCATCGTCACCAGTTTTAGCCAGATCTAAATCTATGACCCTGTTAGCTAGGCTAATACACATTCAACCGGATGAATCATATTATGAAAATATAATAAAAGAATATCATAATAATAAATCGGTTTCAAATAGTAAAAAATCTTCACATTTATCACATCAGTCAAGTGAGGTAGAAGAAAAACCTAAAATAAATTCAAAATTAACGGAAGCAATATTAATAAATCTGAATGGTCATAGAAAAAGAAAATTCAATGAATCATCATTACCTAAAAGCAAAAAGGTTAAACTTTTGGGATCGTCATCAATTACATTCGATACATCTTCGATAGAAAAATTTATAAGACCTAGAACACAAATTGCTACGGTAGAAAAAGATTTAGTTAAAATAATTCAAGGGACATATAAATACGAAAAGAATGGAGTAAATGATCTAAAGGTTGAAATTATACCAACAAATGATACAAATGATTTTGCTAAAACCAGATATAACACATCAACTGATCATAGATTAAATACAACAAAACTATCAACTCCTTTGAAAAGAAATACCACTAAGGATTCATTGAAAAATAATGCCAAACATAAAAAATCAAAAAGAAAATTACAGAGATGCACCAACCCGTTAAAAGATAATTCTTTGAAACTTACGAGTGTATTTTCTGAGCTCACTGATCAAGACCATAAACGTTTAGCGTGTTTAAAAATTGAAGGAAATCAAGATCGTGTTCATGGAACAATATCTATAGAGTTGAAAGTAGATGGTTTGTTTCCTTTAATTGCTAACAAAGCTAAAAATAAATTAATTACAAGCGAAATTATCGCTTGTTATTCCGACTTATTGATGAACATGTATGATAATATATTTATTATTGATTCTTCCTTTTGGATATTTTTTGAAAATAATGTATCGTATGCTACTTCCTGGAGAGGGCGATATGAAATTGATCCTTTTAGCCACGAAAAAGTTTTCATAATTATAAATGTTAAGTCACAACATTGGGCTAGCGTTTATGTCCATACAAGAGAAAAAAAACTATTTTGGTTGGATTCTTTAGAGGAAACATATGGACAAGATAGTATAGCTATTGAAAATTTGATCAAAGTATTGAATCAAGATTCAAATAATTATCAGTTGACTAAATTAAATATACCACAACAGGAGAATAGCTACGATTGTGGGGTTTTTATGATGTGTTGTATTAGGCACATAGCTGCTAATGTTCCACTTACTTATAATGGCAGTCAAATAAAGCAATTTAGACTGCAAATTGCTTTAGAGTTATTAGATAAAACACTACGTTAGAATAGGTATCCTTTTTAGCCGACTTTTTAGTTTAAATTAGTCATGTTACGATAGTGTATATGTCAAAAATCCTGTAGCACATCTTGTCCACCTTTAACCTGTTATCTTGCTTAGCTTAGCACCACCTATCCACCATAATTCTGCCTACCTCGTACCAGCTGCCTGCATATAACCGACTTACTGATCATATATTTCAACAGATTCTAATTTAAGCACATTAGTCCACAAAATGTAAGTTTTACCACTAACTCTAAATGAATATACTGATTCAAAAATCAAAGAAGCTGATGAAATGAATCTACTAATAACAACATTAATACTACTAATAACAATCTACTTAATTCTCAAATTAATTTCACTTTTTAGAACAGTTCCAATAGAATATTTAAATCAACAATCATATATTGCAACAACAAGATTATCTAATGAATCATCTATATATAAATCAATTAAATCTGTTAATTTAATATGTGGTTTAGATATAAGATATGATCATTATAAATTAAGAAATGGGAATCTTAATGATATTTGGGTTATTGTTTTACAAAATTTGAAAAATGGAGTTGGTTACAAGGGGATTTCTATAGATGATGAATTTTTAAAATTTGAAGTTATAAATTTTAATATTTTGAGCTTTGAAAACGAGGGAATTGAATCAATTAATATTCCTTTATCTTATAAAATTGATAAGAAATGGATTATAGTGGTATTAATCGGGTTTATAAGTCAAATTACCATAAACTTTTATGATTCCAAATTGGAGAAACCGACAAATGGTAAAAACATAAATGATATAAACATAGTAGAAGATCGAGGCTCCTTAGAATCAGATTGTAAATATACTTTAGATAAAGATAAAGGAATAGCTATTAAGTTACAAGATGTTTTAAATAATCAAATTTATACAAATATTGAATTTACTCAATTGAATATAATATCTGCAATTGCATCAACTATAAAACATTTACCAAGTACTAAACTAGAGAAATATAAAACTATTGAAATCATTCCATCCAATGAATCAAATGTTATTGATATAACAAATTTAATAGTTAAGCTATTATTTTCATTTATACAAAATTTAGAGATTCATATTAATACAAAACCAAGTTATAAATATGATTTAACATCAATTCCAGAACAAGTCATACTACAAAATAAACCAATAAAACTAAGCTTAATTCAAAATTTAAAATTATTTTTATTAAATCATGGAATTTTTAATTCATCGAAGCTAATATATATAGAATCAAATTCGTTAAAGAATTTAATAAATTCAAAAGATTTAAATAAATTTAAAATAAAGCATTCATCAAATATAATAAAAGAATTTTTAAATCCATTGTTAGTTGGACCTGTTTTGGTAACAGATATATATGAATATAGAACATATGGGTCCAAATATGGTTCAATTCCTCAAAATTTAGAAATGAAAATTATAAATTTAAATAACCATCAAAATCTAGGAAAATTAATGATTAGAGGTTATAATATTGGGAAATTTCAAAGATTTATTAATAATCAAATTGAACTTACTAATCAAAGAGAAAATGATGGATTTATGCCTTTACAATTTAGAGAAAATGTTAAATGGGGTAATGATGGATGTTTATATTTTGATTGTTAATAGAGTGTAAATAGATTGTAAAAAAATGTAAATAGATCGTAAATAAGATCTTATAGCCTATGAGATTTTCGTTATCATGAATTCATGCATGTATTAAGTTAACTATATACGATTTATAAAGCTTTATATGAACTTTAAACTTTAATTTTTTTAACTCGATTAAACACACCAACATTATTATAAGTATGTTCATTATCATCAATACATCTCTTCTTGCTAATTACTTCATTATTAGTTACATCATTAACATAAAAAATTTTTTCACCAATTTTTGAATTATAAAAACTTTCAAAACTTATCTTTATTAAATTTAAATTTTCAATTTTTAAATTATTAAAAAATTTGAACCATTTATTTAATTTTGTTATATTGGAAAAATTATCTAAATCCCATTCAATTATGGAATCTTTTCCGTCTTTAATTTCTTTAGAAACTGTAGTATTTTCTAATGATTGTAAATTTGATTGTAATTTTTGAAATTTTATAAAATCAAATCCAAAAATAAATAAAATATTACACCAATTTTCATATTTTTCACCATTTAAAAATAATTCAAAATTTAAAATTTTCAAAAGGTAAAATTCAATATCTTTTAAAATCCTGATATTTTCTTTTAATTTCGTTGGTGAATCAATTTTTAATCCACAAATTTTACACCATGATTTAAATGAATAATTATAATCTTGATTAAATTTTGATGATATAATAATTAATCCTAAAAATAAATTTTTGACACTAATTTTAATTGGTTCTTGTTTTTCGGATGTTGTTGCAAATGAATTAATTAATTTATAAATATAAAAACAAGTTAATTGTAATGATTGTATTGAAGTTTTTGATCTTTTTAAAATCTCAATTATAAATAATTTAATTTCTTTTTCATTAAATGATGAATTTGTTGATATTGAATGGTTTGTATAAAGAATTTTTAATAAATTTGATGTACAATTTACTAAGATTGAATTAAATTGTGCTTTATTTAAATTAGCATTATAATAATCTGGATGATTTGGTGAATTTGTTTGTTTTTGTTTAGGCAGTTGTTGATTAAATGTAAGTAATAAAGGTGATGATGTAAAATTTTGAAAAGTTGTTGTTGTAGTAGTAGTTGGTTGTGATGTTGGTGGAGTTAATAATGAATGATCCGTATTATTTGCATCAACACTTGAACTCACTTGCAAACTAGTATGTTTTTCAGGGAGACCTTGCCCCTTCTTAACTGATGGCGAATATGGAGAATGCATTTTTCAATATGGAGTTTAAGTATGTGAAATTGATTAATTGTTGAAATAGTATAATGTATGAAAAAAAAAGTCAATCTTTTGAAAAATAAATGAAAACCTTGTAACTCCCTTGACCTAAAAAAAGCAATCTTTTAATGAAACCTTGTGTATATAAAATGAATATTGTGATAAACCTAAGTAAATAAAATTTGAAAAATACCCCTTTATGATATTATAGTTCTTACTGACCTCAAAAATAGTAAAACTAAGAACTACTTGAAGACTGAAAACTTTTTGTTGAATAAAAAATATTGATAAACTTACTATTTCAAGCTAATTTGATCTCTTTATAAAAACCAAACTTGTAAATAATAAAAACGTAAAAAATACAAAAATATTATTAAAAAATGACACACAACTTCTTACTTATTAAATCTATTGAAAAAGTTCAACCGATTGATACATTATATATATTGTTTTATTGATTAATTTGAAAATTTTGATTAAAAAAAGTTGACTAAATCTTTGCTTGAATCTTATTAAAGGTTGGCTGTAAAAAGTTTTGTTTATTTATCAAGTCAAAAAGTATATTGATAGTCAAACAAAAGTAATAGTTTTGTTTAAGTGTTTGTTTGATAGTTAATGTAGTTGTAAATACAATTAATACAGATATATCTAACTGATTAAAGTATACAAAATTATGAGATGATGATGATGATGATGATAATTAGTGTTTATATACTTTAAATTTAAATCGTGGATGATGATAGTTTTGGTGAATTATTTTGTGTAATAATAAAATTTATGAGTAATCTCTATCTCTCTCTCTCTTTAAAAAAAAGAAACTTAAATATCCGGAATTACGGTTAAATATTTTAGTAAAGGAATAATGAGTAATAAATTATTTGGTCACGTTTTTCAGTACTAATTTATATTTATCCTGTCTTCGCCTCCCTTGTCAAGCTAAAGCTCAATATTCGCCCTCGTAATATTACACAGAAATAGGTCGACTCGCCTTAAAAAGTTGCACTTAAATGTATTACTCACAAAATTTATATATCATGGGTCACATGACTTACTGATAAGATAAGAGAGATAAAAAATGAGTCAAAATTTAACGTGGAATGACACTTAAATTTATGGCGTGAAATGACACTTAAATTTATGGAGAAATCATTCCAACAGCGGAATCGGTCAAACATATTAACTATCTGTCATTATCAATATAAAGGCACAGGCAGATTAAATTGAATATGTTTAAGCATACATTGATGAGTTTTGGTGGCTGAATTTAGTTCTTTTCCAATTTCAAATCTAATTGGATAAAACCAAATTCAGTCACTCTATTACGAAAGATGATTTTGGGATGATACCTTTTGTTGATTTGATTAAATGATCATGGAGTTGGGTTAGCTAGAACAGTATCAGGTGTTATTGTTTGATCATGGAGTTCTTAAATGCTGGAGTATGATGGTTGATTAAACTTTTAACAACTCAACAATGTGATTCCAATGTTTGGATGATCTAAAACTATAACATACCTAACTCCGTTGGCATTAAATTCAATAAATAGGAGCACCAAATTAGAATTATCGGCAACCCTGCTTATCAATATTCAATTTCTTATATAGTAGAATGATTGAGATTTTCGGTTTAGACCTTATTTTTGCAATGGATGTATAAACCTTTGTTGCAAATTTTGAACAAAGATGGTCAACTCATAATCTTAAATCAAATTAATTAATTAATTACCTGTTTTGTTAGTTCGAATACGATTAGATGAATAGTCATAATCTCTAATAATTAGATATTGTTAACGTTAAGCAAGATCTTATGATTGTGAACTGATTATTACGAATTGATCGAGTCACCTGACAGTCTGAATTTGTAATACAGCGATCTGGTAGCTAAACATACGAGATTTGGAATTCAAATTTAGCAGCAGTTTATATTGTCAATTCGTCAACTTCATATATTACAATTTCAATCAACATTTCTCTAGGTTTCATCATTTAAATAGCTATGAGTTTAATTTGGTGAAGAATATTTTGAGATATAAGAAGACCTTGTTTGAGTAATAACCATTACTGCATTATCTTAAACCATCCATTCAACATTTCAACCGTCTTAAATCTACAAAGTTCAATCAAAAATATTAGGTCATGACTATCACTAGCATTTCAGGATTACCTATAGAGATAATACAGAAAATTATTAACTTAATTGATGATAGAGATATTTTATTAGCATTAGCAACAAATACTCAATTCAAAGATCCAATTTATAAAAGGTTATTTCCAAAATTAAATATTTTCCATAAATACATAGATGTTTATGAAGAAGTCTTTTCATATTACTTTACATCAAAGTTTTTAAATTTTTTAGACGACTATGATAATTATGTTCCAAATGAAATTTTAACAAATATTGATACATTATTTGAATTGTTTGAAATTAAACATATAAATTTTAAAAATACAAAAATTGATTTGTTTATTCATCCTTATCACACAATGGATGATTTGAGATTTTCAATTGAAAATTTTAAGATAAATTCAATTATGTTAAGATCTGATTATGATTTTCAATTAGCTAGGAAACTGAATTATCGGAATAATCCTTATTTTGCTCAATTGAAAAACGAAGAATTTCGAAAACTTACTCTTCCAAACACTTTGGAAAAGTTTGAGATAGGATATGATAATATCTTTTTAAGAAATTTACCAGAATCATTACGTGAAGTAAAATTGATAAAAATTAAGAATTTAGATGCAATTAAGTTACCTTTATCATTAAAATCATTATATTTATCACACTGCGAGATAAGTGGGGTAATGTTAGACTTGAGTTATCTTCATCAATTGAAGGATTTCGATTCATATGGCAGAATTCAAATTGGTAATGATTTATCATCAGGAAAATTGAAGTTCCCATCTTCTGTAAAATCAATTTGTTTACATTCTTCTGATTTTCAAAGTTTGAATAATTTAAGTGACTATAAAAATTTGAAAATTCTTAAACTCAAGCGTTGTAAAGGATCAATTTTATTGTTTAATACAATATTACCTCCTAATTTAGAATATTTGCTGATTGAATTTGATAGAGAGGAATCAGTGAATCTTGATAATGGGGATTATGGTGAGACAAGGAATTTGAATAATGTTAGTACAATTCACCGACCCGGAGCAGATTTATTATATGACATAAGTGGTGAGGATATTTTTCCTTCAACTTTAAAAATTTTAAAATTGACTTCAATGAAAAATATTATACTTGACTTCCAGTTGAATTTACCTAATTTGGAAGTACTTAAATTTGCTTTTTCTCCTTTTATTAATCCAAGTAATTTGATAAATGAAAACTTAATCAATTTGAAAAAATTGACTGTCAAATTTTGTAACTCATCAATGACATTGGTCAAATTACCGAAAAATTTGGAATATTTAAATCTTGAAAATAATAACATAAGATCATTAACACAATTTAATTTTAAAAATTTGAATAAACTTAGGCATCTTATCGTCAGCAGTAATAAAATAACTAGAATTACTGAACAAATAGCACCAAATCTAAAAATTCTAGATATTTCATATAATCCAATCAAAAAGTTACATCATCAAGAAAATTTGGAACAATTGTTTGTAACAACATCAACGAACGCAGATGATATTTATATCAATAATTTAAGAAGTTGCGAATTAAATATTAAAAATTCTTTATCTTTAAATACTGTTTACAAGTTTGATTCGTGTTACTATTTAAAAGAATTAATACTACGTGTTGAAGTTGTTAATATTTCAAATTTAACTTTTCCTGATACAATTGAAATTCTTGATATTGATTGTGATAGGAATGATACGAAAAATATAGAACATGACTTACAAAAAGGTCTTTATAATATATCAAATTGTTACAATTTGAAAACTTTTAAGTTAAGAAAATGTAATATAGAGCATTTTAATTTTAATAATCTACCCCAAACTTTAGAAAATTTTTCAATTATTTATTCTAAATTAAAAACAATTGATGGTTCTTCAAAAAATTTAATAAATTTAAAATCACTTAATTTAGAATATAACAGAATTGATAATAATGGAATAAAAAATTGTTTATTTTCATCTTCAAAAATTGAAACTATAAATTTAAGCAAAAATGATATAAGTGATATTGATTGTATTAGAATTGAAAGTTGTCCAAGATTAATTGAATTAAATTTAGAAATGAACTCCAATTTATATATTACTGATGAATTTGATGAAAAATTAAAATTAACTTGTCCAAGATTAAGTGTAATTAGAGGTCATAAAGAAACAAATAAAAAGCGTCATATTGATTATGTTAGTGCTTATTAGTTGCAAAAAAATTTTATACGTAAATAGAATAGAGATTGAATGCAGGGTTTTATGATGAAAATTGAATTCAATAAGATATAGAGTTGAGTTGAACAATCAAGTTTGGAATAATTTTTGGGCGTCTGGGTGATTCTATTAGCACAAATAACTTTCATAACATATTTCTCAGAAAATGAAATGGCTATGAGGTTTTTTTGCTTAATGCGCAATGACAATATTTGGTTCAAATCATGCCTTGATAATTTATTGGTCGAAAGAGGTGTACTAAACCATATGAGATCAATCTAGTTGAAATTGAGTTTCAAATTGGTCAATAGTATTTTCAAAAGTTTAAAAATCAACACGCAACTTTTATTCGAATTAACTATTTGTATTATTGTATGCTTAAATACCATCAAATAGGATTCTCATAATTTTTAATAAACGATTTACAATAACTAGATAATGGAACATGCTGTCATTATCGTCAACAGAATTTGAAAAATTGAATTGTCACATAATAATTTGGTAGCGACGCGCGCTAGTTATGAAACTGGCGGTAAATTTTATATTATTTGATTGATCAAACTTATATATTACGATTTCAATCAACTTTTCTCTTAGTTGCAAGGTTTCATTACTCAAATAATTATGATTCGAGTTTGATTTGAGTTGGATTCTACAGCACCATTTTAAAGTCATTTACATTACTGCATTGCCATCAACTAGCACATCATATTCAACCGTCTTTAAATCTACAACATTCATTCTAAAGTATATGGCATGAGTATCACCAATATTTTAAAGTTACCTATAGAAATAATACAAAGAATCATTGATTTAATTGATGATAGAGATATATTATTGGCATTAGCAACAATTCCAGGTCTTAGAAATATCAGTTATGAAAGGTTATTTCCAAAATTAGATATTTTCAATGACAAACCAAGTTATATTCAAGCTAAATTCAGTTCATTATATTTTAAATCAAAATTTCTTAATTTCTTGGATGACTATGATAACTATATTCCGAATGAAATCTTAGCAAATGTAAATACGTTATACGAATTATATAAATTAAAAAATTTAAATTTTCAAAATACAAAATTTAAATTAATGGTTCATCCTCATCATATAAAGCAAGATTTAGAATTTTCAGTTAAATATTTCAAGATATATTCAATTGTATTAACACCTGACTTTGTTTATCCAATTACTGAGAATCAGTATAATAGGAATGAATTTTCTTTGGCTCAATTAGAAAATGAAGAAATTCAAAGATTTTCTCCTCCAAACACTTTGGAAAATTTTGACATGAAATATGATAATTTTTTTTCAAAAAATTTACCACTTTCATTACGTGAGTTGATTTTAGGCGACATCAATGACTTAAACTCAATTAAGTTTCCTTTATCCTTGAGATCATTGTCTTTAACAAATTGTAAAATAAGTGGAGCAATATTAGATTTGAGTTATCTTCATCAATTGAAGGAGTTATATCTAAATGAGATCAATGACACAGATTCAATTAAATTACCTTTGACATTAGGATCATTATCTTTAACAGAGTGTACGATAAGTGGATTAGAATTAGATTTAAGTTATCTTTATCAATTGAAGAAGTTAGATTTAAGCGACGTCAATGACTTAAATTCAATCAAAATACCATCATCATTAATTTCATTATCTTTATCAAGTTGTCAGATAAGAGGCGTAATGTTAGATTTAAGTTATCTTTATCAATTGAAGAATTTTGATTCAAATGGCATATATCAATATGATGGTTCTTCATTAGAAAACGTCAAACTACCACCTTCTTTAGAGTCAATTTGTTTAAGATACTTTAATTTACAAAGTTTAAATATTTCAAGTGATTACAAAAACTTGAAAATTTTAAAACTCGTGACTTGTGATGGATCAATTTTATTGTTTAATACAATATTGCCTCCTGGTCTAGAAAATTTGCAGATTGAATTTAATAATGAGGCTATGTTTGTGTTTCGCGAAGCAGTCTTATATGGCTTGACTTGTGAAAACCTTTTTCCTTCAACTTTGAAAGTTTTAAAATTGACTAATATGGAAAATATTATACTTCGTTTTCAGTTGAATTTACCTAACTTGGAAGAACTTGAAATTGAAGGAGCTTCGTTGTTCAATCCACAAGGCTTGATAAATGAAAGCTTAATCAATTTGAAAAAATTGACAGCTATTTATTGTGGTTCAACTATGGAATCTGTCAAATTTCCTAAAAATTTAGAATACTTGAATCTTCGAAAGAATCGCATAAATTCATTAACACAATTTAATTTAAACGATTTGAATAAACTTAAACATTTAATTGTTAGCGATAATCAAATAACTAGTATTACCGAACAAATAGCTCCAAATTTGAAAATACTTAATATATCAGGCAATCCAATAAATTTATTTCATCAACAAAAAAATTTGAAACAATTAATTTTAAATACTTCAAAAATGGATGATATTTGTATCAATAATTTAGAAACTTTTCATATAGAAATTAAAAATAAGGATCATGAATACGGTTCAATTCCTTATTACAAATTTGATTCATGTTATTATTTAAAAAATTTAATTTTATGTCTTGAAGCTAGTGATATATCAAATATAACTTTTCCTGGTTCAATTGAAATTCTTGATATATCTTGTAATATTTTTTCCGTGAATCAATGTATTGACATACAAAAAGATCTTTACAATATATCAGAGTGTAACAATCTAAAAATTTTTAAATTAAAAAGCTGTAGTAAGGAACATTTTAATTTTGATAATTTACCAATAAATTTAGAAAATTTTTCAATTACTAATTCTGATATAAAATCAATTTGTGGTTCTTTAAGAAATTTAAATAAACTAAAATCACTTGATTTAAGATATAATAGTATTGATAATAATGGACTAAAAAATTGTTTATTTTCATCTCCAAAAATTGAAGTTATTGATTTAAGTGGGAATTACATTGATAATATTGATTGTATTAGAATTGAAAGTTGTCCGAGACTAATTGAATTAAATTTAAAAATGTCCCCGCTCATCAAACTATATGTAACTGATGAATTTGAAGAAAAATTGAAATTAAACTGTCCCAGATTAAGTACAATAGGGGCTTTAAAAGAAAAAGATAAAGATCTTCCTACTGTTCATGGTATTGTTTAATAATTGGAAAAGATTGCTCAAATCGTGAAACTAAAAGTAAAAGCTAGGTTATGAGTTATATCTAAAAAGCTATAGAAACGGGTAGACTGTTAGAAGTCCAAACTTAATACAAATCATAAGATGTATTTTGTAGTTCGTCTGGTGAGTAGGCAGCACAAATAAGTGTTACAACAGCAATACTCAATCAAACTGTATTGACTCTCGATCAATTCGTATGAGATATTTTGGCTTATCTGTTATGACGATTCTTTATTTAACCGTTTTAGATCAATCTATCAGTTATTATATAAGTTTCAGTTTTGTCAAAGTATAGTATTTTTAAATATTGAAATTCAACTCGCAACCTTTGTACAAATTGATTAAACACATCTTTAGTATACTCTAGAATCGTTAAATATGAAACTCATTAGTTTAATAATTTCTTCTCAAAAAATAGTTAATGTAGCATATTGCAATAAACTGATTGTAAGAAATTGTGGGTCAGAATATTTTGGTAGCGCTAAATGATAGTTCTCAAATATGAACCAGGACCATTCTATGCTATCAAATTCACATATTTGTATATTACGATCTCAATCAACTTTTCTCAGATACAAAATTTCATCACTCGAATAACTATGATTTGTGCGGTGAAAAAGATTTGAGTTGGATTTTGGAACAGTATTTCAGAGTCATCTACATTATTGCATTACCCTCAATCATCATCATCATAGTCAACCGTCTTTTAATCTACAGAGTTCAATCAAAAAGTATAGGGCATGACTATCGCTAGTATTTTAAAATTACCCATAGAAATAATACAAAGAATCATTGATTTAATTGATGATAGAAATACTTTATTAGCATTAACAGCAATTACTCAATTTAAAGATTCAATTTACAAAAGATTATTTCCAAAATTAAATATATTTTATAAACAACCAAATAAATCAGCAAATTATTTTTATGGTAATAAACTTATTTCATTCTACTTTCTATCAAAATTTTTTAATTTTTTAGATGATTATGATAATTATATACCAATTGAAATTTCAACAAACATCGATACATTATATGAATTAATTAATTTAAAAAATTTAAATTTTACAAATACCAAATTTAATTTATTTATTCATCCTTATCATACAATTAAAGATTTGGAATTTTCTTTTACAAACTTTGAAATAAATTCAGTTGTGTTAAGACCTTATTTTGACTATCAGTTAACTGGGACACTATATGAAAATAATGAAGTTTATTTTGGTCAATTGAAAAATGAAGAATTTCAAAATATTACTTTTCCAGACACTTTGGAAAAGGTTGACGTAGAATATGATAATATTTTTTTAAGAAATTTACCACGTTCATTACGTGAGCTAAACTTAAGGGAGATTGATGATTTAAATTCAATTAAACTACCTTTATCATTAAGATCATTATCTTTAACAAATTGTAAGATTAATGGGGAAGTGTTAGACTTGAGCTATCTTTATCAATTGAAAAATTTTGAATCAAATGACATAGCTCGAATTGATAGTGATTACTTATCAGGTGAATTGAAACTATCATCTTCCATAGAATCAATCTGTTTGAGTTCTTGTGATTTACAAAGTTTGAATAGGCCAAGTGATTACAAAAATTTGAAAGTTTTCAAACTCATGCGTTGTGGAGGATCAATTTTTTTGTTCAATACAAAATTACCTCCTCGGTTGGAATATCTAGAAATGGATTCTCCAGGTTTAAATTCCGTTGTCATGGAACAAAGTCGATCAATGAACTCAGATAATGTTACTTTAATCGATAGACCGCAAAATGGAAAGTTATTCAACATTGGTGGTGAAAATATCTTCCCTTTAACTTTAAAAAGTTTAAAATTGACTGAGATGAGTAAAATAGTATTAGATACACAATTAGATTTACCTTATTTGGAAATACTTGAAATCAGTGGAGCTGCTCTTCCCAATCCACATAGAATAATAAATGAAAACTTAATCAATTTGAGAAAATTGACTGTCAATTTTTGTGATTCACCAATGGAATCTGTCAAATTTCCAAAAAATTTAGAATACTTGAATCTCAGAAATAATCGCATATATTCCTTGATACCATTTAACTTGATACAGTCGAATAAACTTAAACATTTAGATGTTTGTGAGAATCGAATAACTAGTATTACTGGACAATTAGCTCCAAATTTAAAAATACTTGATATATCGTATAATCCAATAATTAAATTACATAAACAAGAAAACTTAGAACAATTAATCTTAAGTACTTCGACGAAAACAGGTGATATTTGTATCAATAATTTAGAAAGTTTTGAATTAGAAATTGAAGATTTTGATTATTTTTCAAAATTTCTTGGACTAGAAGTTGGATGTGAACAATATGAAGCATGCAAAATTTATGATTATAAGTTTGATTCATGTTACTATTTGAAAAAATTAATCTTACGTCTTGAAGTGGGTAATATCAAGAATTTCAATTGAGTTGGGGTAATATATCAAATTTAACTTTTTCCAACTCAATTGAAATTCTTGATATTACTTGTAATTCTCGTTCTTCAAAAAGGATTAAAAATGACTTACAAAAGGATCTTCATAATTTATCAAATTGTTACAATTTGAAAGATTTTAAATTAGAAAAATGTAATATTGAACATTTCAATTTTAATAATTTACCAAAAAATTTAGAAAATTTTTCAATTATTTATTCTGATTTAAATTCAATATATGGTTCATTAGAAAATTTAAAGAATTTGAAATTGCTTAACTTAAAATCAAATAGAATTAATAATAGTGGACTTGAAAATTGTTTATTTTCATCTCCAAATTTGGAAGCTATTGATTTAAATGGGAATTATATTAAAAATACTGATTGTATTAAAATTCGAGATTGTCCAAGATTAATTGAATTGAATTTGAAAATGGTATCACTGATTAGATTATATATCACTGATGGATTTGAAGAAAAATTGAAATTAACTTGTCCAAGACTAAGTATAGTTAGAGGATTTAGAAAGGTTTAATGCAATTAAACATGGTATCCCTGATTAGATTTTCATTACTGATGAATTTGAAGAAAGCCGGAAATTAAACTGTTCAAGGTGAAGTGTAATTAAAGCTTGGATAAATATATCGATAAACATCTTCATACTGCTCATGGTAGTTCTTGTTAATTGCACAAGTTTGCCATAGATTGTGAAACTAGACTCAAAAGCTCAGCTATAGGTGAGGTTATACTCATTAGTGATAAGAGCTAGTTGATTTTAAATTTGATTAATTTTTTTTTGTGTATGCCTATCTTGAACTTGTTTCGATATACATGGATGAGATTTGGTGACCAGGTTGAGTTTAGATTGGGAATTGATTTAAATTTACTGAATAATAGAGGCTGCTTTAAAAGATGAGTTCAAGTTGGAACCTCTCCTTTAAATTGTAGTTATGATTTGATAGGTTGAATTACTTTAACAAACATAATCCTATTCGGGGTTATTTCATTATACAGGGATACCAAAATTGGCAAACCTCTCAAATATTTAAAAGGCAACCATAATCTCTATCAATACTCTCTCGATTAATGAAATATGTATGAATATGTAAGCTGTCAATTCTAAAACTCAGTAGATATAATAAATGGATTTTGCAACCGTATTTGGTAGCAACAGAGTTTTGAATTTTAAATTAGCATCTGAAACTAAAGTGATACACGTTAAATTTATTTTTACAACCAAAATCAAACACGCCTTCAAAAAGTTTCATCACTCGAATAATAATGATTCAAGTTTGATGAAGAATAAATGGGTCACAGAGCATTTTTCAAAACCATTTACATCAGTGTCTTACCATAAGAGCCCTTTTTCAAATTTAAAGATTCAAACAAAAATTGGCAGCATGTCTATCATTCATATTTCCGAATTACCTACAGAAATAATTCAAAGGATCATTAATTTAATTGATGATAAAGATACATTATTGGAATTAGCGAAGATACCAAGTCTTAGAAATATTAGTTATGAAAAGTTATTTCCAAAACTAGATATATTCCATGTCAAACCAGATTATGTTAAAGGTAAATCCAGTTCATTATATTTTAAATCAAAATTTCTTAATTTTTTGGATGACTATGATAATTATATTCCAAATGAAGTCTTAACAAATGTAAATACATTATACGAATTATATAAATTAAAAAATATAAAATTTCAAAATACAAAATTCAATTTAATTATTCATGATTATAATACAATTCAAGATTTAGAATTTTCCGTGAAAAATTTTAAGATAAACTCAATTACATTAGCATTAGATTTTGATTATGCATTTACTGGGAAACAGTATAATAGGAATGAAATTCATTTCGCTCAATTGGAAGATGAAGGATCTCGAAATTTTACTCCTTCAAACACTTTTGAAGAATTTGGCATAAAGTATGATGTGTTTTTTTCAAAAAATTTACTACTTTCATTACGTGAGTTAAAATTAAGCGACATCAATGACTTAAATTCAATTAAATTTCCTTTATCCTTGGGATCATTATCTTTAACCGGTTGTAATTTAAGTGGAGAAACATTAGATTTAAATTATCTTTATCAATTGAAGGAGTTAAATTTATATGGCGTCAACGGCTTCAATTCAATTAAATTACCTTTGACATTAAATTCATTATCTTTAACAGAGTGTAAGATTAGTGGAATAATTTTAGATTTAAGTTATCTTTATCAATTGAAGAAGTTAGATTTAGGCGACGTCGAAGACTTAAATTCAATCAAAATACCTTCATCATTAATTTCATTATCTTCATCATTATGTCGAATAAGAGACGTAATTTTAGATTTAAGTTATCTTTATCAATTGAAGAATTTTGATTCACATGGCATATGTCAATATGATGGTCGTTCATTAGAAAATGTGAAACTACCACCTTCTTTAGAATCAATTTGTTTAAGTTACTTTGATTTACAAAATTTGAATATCTCAAGTGATTACAAAAACTTGAAAATCCTTAAGCTCATGGAATGTGATGGATCAATTTCATTGTTATATACAAAATTGCCTCCTGGTTTAGAAATTTTGGAAATTGAATTTAGTAATGAGGCTACATTTGCGCTTCGCGAAGCAAACTTCTTATATGGCTTGAGTAGTGAAATTCTTTTTCCATCAACTTTGAAAATTTTAAAATTGACTGGAATGGAAGATATTATAGTGGGGTTGCAATTGAATTCACCTAATTTGGAAGAACTTGAAATTGAAGGAGCTTCGTTGTTCAATCCACAAGGCTTGATAAATGAAAGCTTAATCAATTTGAAAAAATTAACTGTCATTCTTTGTGGCTCAACTATGGAATCTGTCAAATTTCCAAAAAATTTAGAATACTTGAATCTTAAAAATAATCGCATAACTTCATTAATAGAATTTAATTTAAATAATTTGAATAAACTTAAACATTTAATTGTTAGGAATAATGAGATAACTAGCATCACTGAACAAATAGCTCCAAATTTGAAAATACTTGATATATCAGGTAATCCAATAAAACAATTTCATCAACAAGAAAATTTAAAACAATTAATTTTAAATACTTCCAAAATAGATGTTACTTGTATCAACAATTTAGAAAGTTTTGAATTAGAAATCAACGATAAGGATTACAAGTACAATTCAATTCCCTATTACGAATTTGATTCATGTTATTATTTAAAAAAATTCATATTACGTCTCAAAGTTGGTGATTTATCAAATATAACTTTTCCTGATTCAATTGAAATTCTTGATATTACTTTGAATAGATGTATGCACACACAAAAAGATCTTTATAATATATCAAATTGTTACAATTTAAAAAGTTTTGAATTAAAAAGTTGTAACATAGAACATATTAATTTCAATAATTTACCAACAAGTTTAGAAAGTTTTGCAATTATTGATTCTGAATTAAAATCAATTCATGGTTCTTTAAAAAATTTGAAAAATTTAAAATTACTTGATTTAAAATCAAATAGAATTAATAATGATGGACTTAAAAATTGTTTGTTTTCATCTCCAAAAATTGAAAAAATTGATTTAAGTAGAAACTTTATTGATAATATTGATTGCATTAGAATTGAAGATTGTCCTAAGTTAATTGAATTGAATTTAAAAATGGTCTCACTGATCAAACTTTATGTAACTGATGAATATGAAGAAAAATTGAAATCAAATTGCCCAAGATTGGGTACAATAGGAGCTTATAAAAAAAAAGATAAACATCTTCATTCTGTTCATGGTAGTGTTTACTAATTGTAAAGTTTGCTTAAAATGTGAAAACAGAATCAAAAGTTAGGTTATAGGTGGTGCTATATTCATAATTAATGCTAAAGAATTTAATACACGAATAACAATTCAAATTTGAATCATAAGATACATATTGTAGTACTCTTATTGGGTGTATCAGCACAAATAACTCTCATGACATCGCCACTCAATAAAAATGTGTGACCTCCTTTTATTGAGACCTTTTAGCTGATAAATATGTAACTAAGTCTTGGTCTATATCTTTGGTGATAATAGCGAAATGCTCTCACTATACAAAAGCCGCTCCTCTTGCCATTTGAAGTAATTATGCTAAGTAGGCAATTATCTCTCAATTCATTACAAAATGTATGCTACCAATTTTTGATTTTTTAAATTTTATAAATACAGCTTAAAATTTCCCCAAGTTTTACAATTCATCTTAACAACAACAACTTAGTTCTTTGAAATCAATACAGACTAATTTAAATATCTAATTAAAAGTTTTCCAACATGCCAGCTCAATTAACTAATTATTCATCATCTTGTTCATCAGGTTGTAATTGTGGTTCAGAATGTAAATGTGGATCAGAAGCTGAATGTAAATGTGAAAAGAAATAAATTACAAGTTGACCAAATGATTCAATTTATTTGCTAATGCTAATGCTAATGATTTTTTTTTTCAATCTTATTATCGTTTTTATCTTTACTATGTTTCAAATTGTTAATTTTTGTTAATGCTTTTTTTGTTTGGGGAAATGGTGGGTTTTATGATGTTTGATGTTGCTTTAAAATTTATAGCTATATTTTATATCTAAAGGAATACAAAAGTTTTGCTTATAAAGGACATTGAGTAGTGATCTTTGAACCTCTGAACTATCTCTCGGTCTTTCCATCATCGACATCTACATTAGCTTCTACATTAACTTCTACATCAACTTCTGTATCAACTTCTATTAAACAAGTAGTAATCAGAAAATCATCAATCTCAGAATTTTATTACTATATCTCTATATTCAACTCTTTAATTTGTTTATCAACAATCACCTTTATCTTTTCATTATCTTTTATAAATTCTTTTATTTCTTTATTATTTTCACTAACTTTAATTAATTTTGAATCAAAATTTAAATTAATTAAAGTTTTTAAACCAACCCAAGATTTATCAAATTTTTGATTAATTTCTAAACTTATTAAATAATTATCTCTACTTAATTTGAAAATTTTTAATAATTCAATCAATTTATCTTTTTTATCATTATTTAAGTTATTTAATTTTGAAAAATGATTTAAAAATTTATAATAATATATTAAACCAATTTTATAAAAAATTGGATATGCTTTTGGTTGAATTAATAATACTTGTTTTAAACAATATATTGATTTATCATAATTACCACTTATAAGATATTCTTCACTTAATTCTTTCCATGTTAATATATCATTTGGTTGTAAATTTAAATAATAAATTAAATTATCAATATATTTATTTGAATTTTTGGAGGTATCATTATTTCCTTTATGATTTCTTGCAAATGTTGTTAATCTTCTACTTAATTTTAATTCATCTGGTTCATCATTAAGCATTTCCATTGATTTTTTTAAATCATTTTGACTTTCATACCATATTGATTTTAAAAATTTTAATCTTTGAGATCTAACTATTTTGGTTTCATTACCTTCATTAAAATATGATATAATTTTGTTTAATACTATTTTTGCTTCTTCATCATTATTTGTTAATATGTTTAAATAAAATTGAAGTTCTAATAAATTATATAATTCAATTAAATTTAATGAGCTTTCATGTTGTTGTAAATAATTTGTAACTTCTTTTTGATGATTGTATAATTGTTGTGGTGAAAATTCAGTAAATTTATTTGTCTGTGATATATGTAGAAGTTTTCTTTTAATTAATGATGGATCTATTATTAGTTCAGACATGTTTTTGGTTGTGCTTTGGTTTCAATTGATTAAGTCTGATCAGTCTATCTAAAAATTGTGTCGTGCTGTAAATTAGTTTGAATCTGAAATTTTGTTTTTCTGTGTAACAATCGACCTACAACATTTGATTCATCAACGATCAAGTATATTGAAAATACTAAACTTCAAATCACAGTTAACTTCAATCTCATCCATATGTATGATCTCACTTATAAGAACGACCGATTAGGCTTACTAATTCAAATATTTGAACCAATGCAAGCGTTCGAAAGAGATTTGCTGATTGATTTTAAGATTGTGGCAGGTGCCAATCAAGATACAAAAATGATCATTGAAGTGATTCCATTAATTATTGAAACATTCTCAGATCTTCGAGTCACAATTTCACACAATGATCCAACCTTTATCAGCCGGTTGCATTTAAATTTTTTGCCATTTTCCAAGGAGAGTAAGAGCTAATTTTTGAACATGAAATTCCAATAGATAATTCCAAACCAATTTACATTGAATTAGACATTATTCAAAACTATCTTATATAATGTAGAATTTAAGATGAATTCATTTGGAATTATCCATTGTAAGTTCATGTTCAAATAAATTATATTAGCTCAACTGAAATATTATCACCCATATTATGTCGAATAAGCTTGATTCCACCTGCTAGTTTTGTATTACATTTTAACAAACTCCCAAGGAATCACAACTAAATTAAACTTTCATTCAAAAATCTTGATCCATTATAGACAATTTCAAAAAGAATTCAATAACTTCTTCATTAATTATATTAAAAATTTTGGTGATGTTCAGAGTAATTTAGCTGAAAAAGTTTAAGGAAATAGTAGTAAAATTCAAAGTTAAATGGGAAATATTGTTTTTTAAAACATTATAAAGAAAAATATAATGGTTCCAATCTCAGAATGAAAAAAATTAGCCTAGTCCTTTCAAATACCATATGAAAAAGATTAGTCCTGTTCTTTTCATACTTAGATGTGAACCATTATATTTGTAATGAGCAGTTTGAGACAAACCATCTTAATTTTTTATTTAAATTTCTATATCATTTTCCATCACAATTCTTAACACTACTTTGAAAAATAATTAAACTTATAAAGTTAGAACCTCAAGGATTGGATTGATATTTTGTCTCAATAAGTCAGTCTTAAGGAGTTAATTATTCGTAGGTATTTGGTTAATAGGCTAATAAAGGTTGAGTAGAGCTAAAATATGAATCTAAATAGTTCTTGAGTTTTTATATGAATAATTTTAATCGTTTAATGCGAGAATCAACTTTAAATTACATTTTGAACATTGTAGTTCTTCCGATACTGATTATATTGAACGATCCAGCAATGGCTTACTTATTTTGGTTTGATGTTTGTTGTAAAAAATTTTGTGTATTTGTTGTAGATATTAGTTTATGTTGGTTGCAAAACTTTTTGAAAATTTATCACCATTTTTTCTAAAAATTTAAGGAAATCAATTTCATGCCAGTTTCTTCTTTAAAATTAAAAGTGGGAAAGTGTGATCAATGTAACAAGTGTGTAACCAAGAGAAAAAAAATAGTTTCTTCTCTCCTTTCTGAATTATTATTGGTTGTTGATACTTGATTCCACGGGATACCATGGTATAGAGTTGGTTGTTAATAAAAATCTAATGGAGATATGGAATAAAATAGTATTGAGGTAGAGATGTAGAAAAGACAAGTAATAATGTACTACGTAAGATATTATTAAACTTTACTTTAATACTAGATTAAATCTAATCTCATACATAATTTATCATACATTATCATACCACCCCCCTTCCTTTAATTTGATTTTAAAAAATATAAATAGACTAGGAAAATTCCATTTCTATCTTTCAATTTTATTTCATTTCTTCTTTCTTTCCTTCTACTTTAGAGATTAACTAATACTTAAACTCATCTACTAATACAAATACTACAAATTATAAACTACAAACTAAACTAATTATAATCAAAAATGTCTTCAAAAATGGATTGTGCTTGTTGCAGCAAAGATTGTTCATGTAAAGATGCTTGTGAATGTTCATCAAAAGATGCTTGTTCATGTCAAAAGAAATAAATTAGTCTGTATCAATTGACTATTACACCTTTCACAAAGGATCAATTGAGTTGATAAATCATTATTTTGGTGATTATACTTACATGCTTTATGCTTATTATTTATATTTTTTATAATTTATGTTTGAATAAATAACTATATTAAATTCAGTACTATAAGGATTGTAGCTTTACTCTGATGATAAGAAATTGAAAGTTGGGGATAAACAATTGAGTCCTCTTGCTATTAAATTAAACTGATAAGATAAATGGTTTTGAATAATGATTCTTTTTAGTCCGTTCTCCGATATTCTAAACCGATCTCCCGCAATAATACGAATTAGAATTACTACTTTTGGAAACTTGGGTGAAAAATATCCCTAATCTTACATATTATTAAGGGATACAATAAATCCATATTTTCATACAAAATAGATGGGAGTTACTGATTTCTTCAAATCATTTATGGTTCATTTTTGAAATTGACTATTACTTGTTTGTCATAGAATGGTTTAATTTGTTTCAATTGGTGAGTTTGTGGTATAAAATTGGAAAGTTTCTAAAAAGAAAAATTTTTCACATAATGTATTGAAAATACTTTCCCAAGATAAGGAGTTCACTAAACAACAATAGTCATTACGAGATGATTTGCAGAAGGTTATCAGATCAGTTTCTTACTAGTCTATCTACTTATGTATATCAATTTCAATAATGTCATCATGGTATCCCAAATATACAAAATCATGGAGTAATATTGTTTCTAATCAACTCCTCCAAATCCAATTATGGACAAACCAATCCTACATTATTAAATCGAAATATCCAATTGTGACTAATGATTCATCATTCAAATTTATTCAGTTTAATTTATTGGATTGTGTGATTCTTTTCATATTCTATTTCAAATTCAATTAAAAATATGATTCCTCAACTCAAGTGAGAATCCCAGCTACTTGAACTTAAAATTTATGATTTTGATTAATATGTCTTATTTTACTATTCCAAACACTCCAAATCTATTCCAAATCAGAAGTTAACAGATTAGAAGTCAAAAGCGATATTTTATACATTTTGTTTATCGCTTTTTGACTTCTAATCTGTTAACTTCAAAACTGTTGACCTATAATTTGTTGACTTTCAATTTGGAAAAGAGTTGGTGTGGTTCTTTATGAGACTTGGCTGTTAATACAAATTTTTGTATAAGTAATCATCAAGGTAATTTCGAGCTATATTTATATCTTTTCAGACACATCACTTTGCATCAAATTTCAATATCATTATGTTCATTCAAGGAAATTTCACGCCCGATAATGTAATCATCTGCGAAATTTCATCTTGATTTCTACGAACACTCTATCTATAATCCCAACATTTTAGTGGTAACACTTTAATATAACCAAACAGCTAAGTTTTTACAATATCTAGAACTCATAGCTATTTCACACAACAATAATTACTCAGATTTGATTAGTATTGTAGTACTCTTCAATGGATTATCAACCAACAACTCGAATCCAACAACTATTCCAACACCAATAATTCAAGTCATGAGATTGGACCAAGGTGAAGTTCAATCATCTCAAACATCAACTACATACAACACCAGATCTAAGCCAACTACTCTACAACACATATTGTTTCAATTAAAGAAAATCAAATATTGAGAAACAAACAACAACCAAACAAAATTTTAATTAGAAATAACTATCATGTGCAACCAAACTCAATGACTTTCATCACACATTAAACCAAGCACATCCTATACCTTTCAACCTGATCGATTGTCGCCATCAATCAACCTAATCCAACAACATTAAAGATTACGCTTCATCCCCACACACTTCATTAAATCACACAAAACCCAAACAAAAATCTTCAATACATACAAATTCCTAATTATCAATTGACAACCAATGCTTATATCGTCAAATCTGAAACAAAATCCTCAACATCTTGTGATTTTATCAGCCCCTTTCATTTCAAATAATTTAGTTTAAATATCAATGAAATTTTCCTCAATTTGAAAATTCAAAGATTTTTTGGAAACTAACACTAATATTCACTAATCAATACATGAATCAAAAACTTACTTCAGATCAACCCTCAACAGAAGCAAATCTTCAACCAACTTATTAGCAATATGTCCAATAATGGGCCTCACCTTCAAAACTTCAGGATCAAACAACCTAATGCAGAATCAATCAATGTCCAATCTCCAGCAATGATCTACCATCAGGCACAATCATTCTTGGTTCACCAATTATGAAAAATTCCAAGTTGGACATAACTTGAATTTCTTCATAGTCGGTGAAACGAGAATCATTGACTTGAAACAGTGAACATTGCATTTTCATCCACAATAATCGAACTCATATTTCCAAATCACAGAAACTACTTTGGTTGTAAATGAAATACAAACAAACTTTGGTGTCAATCTACTATTAGCGCTATAGGGAATGCTACATTTCCAATTAAATCTGGGTAATTGTATTATTCTTTTGTAGAGTTAATATCGGATGGATAACAAGGTTAGCTTGAAAGAATTTCATTTACAAAGTCCGTAGTTTAGATTACTTAGAAGTTTACAATAAACAATTGGATATCGCCACACTCATCATCCTGTTGGTATCAATCTGCAGAATCTAGTTCTACAAAACTTCTTTTAGAGGCAATGCCTAATAAATTTATATTTTAATCATAGATCTTATGAATCAGTATTGATCTTCATTTTGCAACTAGAATCTTGAATGTAATTTTCAATGAACCTCCGTCAGGAAATGGTGAAATCAATTCTAGCGATTTGCCCATTGTGGGAAATTGTAACTATATACCATGAAAAAATAGAAAGATTCATTCGATTTTCAAACAACTATGGCATCCGAATTTTGAACAATTCTATAATTTTATTTAATACATATATACAGGCTTAGGAACATACTATTTATCATTTTTCATGCACAAATTAGTTTGATAAAAAGTTTGTCTAATTATATTTGAAATAATCTTTTATTTATAACATCCCAATTTAAATTATCCCATAAATTATTTAAATATTCTGATTTACCAGTAATTCCATAATCTTTAATATACATATAATCCCAATAATTTATAGCTAAAATTGGTAAATATTTTTCATCATCATCATTATCTTTTAACTGCTGACCAGCCTTCTTCTGAGCTCTTTTTTCTAATTTATTTAATCCATTAAAAGTTAATTCATCAATTCCTCCATTTAAATCAAATTGTTGTCTTTTACCAAAATAAAAAGGTATACCATCATTAAAACTTTGTAAAAAACTTAAATTTTTATTTTTATCTTCAATTAAATATATCCAACCTTGACCATTTGAATTTTCAGCCATTGTTAAAATTTTATTTCTTAATTGATTTAAATCTAATATATCTATATTCATTAATTTTTCCATTAAAAATCTTGAAGGTTTTGTTTTTGTTGTAGAATCTTCTGTTGGTTTATCAATTAATTGTTGAAAAAAAAAATGATTCATATGTGACATTGATGCATAATGGAAAGTATGTTGTTGAGTTGTTTGTTTTGCTGTATTTAATAATATTTCATACGGAGTTTTAGTTTCATTTGCTGTACCATTTGTTAATAATGTTAATTTTGTTAATAAATAAGTTTGATAATCTGTCCATGCTAAATTATAACCTTCTGGTGATAATAAACCTTTTATTCCTTCTTTTGACCATATTTCATGATTTGGTAATTTTGGTAATGTATGTATAGATCGTATTTGTTTGAGACAACAATGTAGACTATTTCGACTTGATTTAAACATGGTTTGGTGGTTGTAATATTGGTGATCTATTGATCTTTTGTGTGTTTAAGATTTTGAAAAATTTTTAAAGTGTACATTCATTTTGTGTATTTGTTTTAAAACTCAAAATATCAAGAAAGTTGCAAAATTTATCGAACCAAAGATAAAGTAAAACTGTTCTCTATAAAGCTTTATTTACTAAACTATACTATAGTATACACTCTTCTATTGTTCTCTTTATAGTAGGTATATTCAAACTAACCCAATTTTGATCTCTTAATGCCTTTTTAGGATCACCATTTCCATTCCCTCCACTATTATTACTATTAATACTTTTCTTTAAAACTTTATCATAATCACATTCTTGAATTTTATATTCTCTTAAAACCGTGTTTGTTTCAAAATCAATGAAAACTCTACAATCTCTAATTCTAAATATAACATTATCAATTCTTAAAAAAAATCTTAATAATATTAAAAGACATGATGGCATAACTCTTATCTTTGTTGAAAGCATACTTATTCCATTATCTGCTAATTCATCTTCAAATAATATCATTTCATCAAAAAATAATATCGGATCAGGTTTTGTTAATTTATCTATTGGAATTTCCTTGGTTGTTGGTTGAAAGTCTATATTTGAATTACCTTTATAATTTGTTGAATAAGTCCAATCATAAGGTTTTATTCCTATTTCTTCAGTTAATTCTGATACTTTTTCTTTTAAATCTTCATCCAATTTTGAACTTCCTCTTTCTTGTTTTTGTTTTTGGGTTGTATTATTTTTATTGTTTAAACTTTGTTGTTTCTTTTGTCGTTGTTGTTGACGAGATTTAAGCCATTCTTCATGATAACTAACTTTTAAATGAACATCATCATCTAAAGTATCTAATGCATCAATTGCATTGAACGTAATTTCTTTAATTGCACTATTGTCTATCTCCTTTTCAATTTCTTTTTCTTTCTCCAATTCCTTTTCGTTTTCGTTTTCATTATCATTTTTAATTACAGTTTCACTTTCATTGGTATCTATATTGTCATCAACGAATCTAATTTTAACTAAATTATTACCAAAAATCATTTCAGGTAATGGGAAATTAAACTTGGTATCATTTAAATAATCAATTTCAAAAGAATTTAATATAGGTTTCTTGATTGTATAAATTTCCCAATTATCTATTTTAATACTTGGTTTATCTTGTATTGGTAATGACAGTTGTGGTGATGGTATTATTATTTTACCACAATGATTACATTGAGGATTTTTACATTCATTTTGATTAGCGTGATGATTGGGTATACTTATTTTTTTGGGGAAAGTTGATGAAGATATTGATGAGAACGAAGGTGAAGATGAATTGCTTTTATTGTTATTGTTGGTATTATTATTAGTTGTAGGTAGTTTCTTTATTGATTGAGGATTTCTACCTTGTGTATGTAATTGTACCATTTCTCTTGCTGAATTTACATGTATAGCATCTATACCTCTCCTACTTTTATTGGAAGGTATTGCAAATAATGACAGTTTGGATTGCTTTTTTGAAGAATTATCATTTTTATTTGTTTTATCTTCTGACATTTGTTGTGGTGGGGAGTTTTAGTTTGAATCTTAAGATTTAAATTTTGAAACTCCGTATTATAGATTTTTTTGTTGGAGATTAAAATGCGGTGCGGTTTATTCAATTTTGAAGATACTGTTTCACAAAAAAAAAAAAAAAAAAAAAAAAAAAAAAAAAAAAAATGGTCTCAAGAGGGATAAAATGTAGC